ATATGGCTCGCTGGCCGACTGGGTGATAAAAAGTTCATGATCCGGCCCCATATTCAGAAAGGTTGGACACCCCTGCCTTAGCACATCTACATGTGCATTAAGGCAGTTTAGCTATTCACGCCTAAATTTGATACCTGGTTTTGCAGGTATCAAATGTAGATGCCAATAGACTAAAATCACCATTTTAAGATGCATAAAGAGCATACACATGTAGACCCACACCTTTAATATGCCTTTAAAATAGCTAATGCACCTAAAATCAGCAAATGTAGATGTACCCATGAAGGACTAGTCCCTGACTATGATGATCTGACTAGTTATGTATATTACAATGCTTTAGTCTATATATCTTGACACATAATGAGGATGTCATGGGTAAGCATATCAAAGTCTTTGCTAAAGTTAAGGTATACTATAACCACTACTCTCCCCTCATCCACAGAGCCTGTCACTTTATCATAGAAATAAATCAGAGTGGTCAGGCATGACTTGCTCTTAATGAATCCATGCTGACCATTTCTGATCACCTAAGTACTTCACAATGGATTCCTTGAGGATCTGTTTTCATGATCTTTCCAGGTCCAGGTTAGTTGGTCTTTAGTTTCCTGGATCATCCTCCTTCCCTTTCTTAGAGATAGGCACCATATTTGCCCTTTTCCAGGTGTCTATGAGTTCTCAAAAAGGATAGTCAGTGCCTCCACAATTACCTTGCCAATGCCTTTAGTACCACGGGGCACATCCCATCCAGCACTGCCAACTTGAAAGTATCGAGCTTCTCCAAGTAATTCTTAACTTGTTTTATCATTACTGTAGGTTGTTTGTCTCCCTTATCTCTGTTGCCAACTGCACTCATTATCTTGTTGTTGCCCCTTTTTGTGAAAACTAAAGTAAAAAAGGCATTAAATACTTCAGCCTTCTTTGTATAGTCAGTGATCAGCAGGGATCCTGGTTTTCCGTTTCCCATGGAAAAACAGAGAAAACCATGGATTTCTCCTTTCTATCAGAGAAAACGTGGATTTCTCCATTTAGAAGAGCAACCCGTGGATTCCCTGCTTTTGCAAAGAGCTCTGCAGGCTGGTTGAGCTTCAGCCTGCAAAAGCTATTTGGCAAACAGGACGGGAAACCCCCAGCCCTGCCCAGAGGGGAAGGGGGAGGGGGAAGGGCAAGGCCTGATGCTCTCAATCACTTACCTCAGGCTCCAGGAGCAAAGAGTGAAGCTGAACTGAGCCGGGGTCTCCACAAAAAAACAGCCACAGAAACGCAGGTAGGTGCTGCTGGGAAACGGAGTCCACAGCAGGCCTGATCCAGCCCAAAAGCAAAACTTTGTCTGCCCCTGCTCTAAGGAATCTCTGGTCTTCCTCTTATTTTTGACATACCTACAGAATCCCTTTTTACTATCTTTTGTGCCTTGCTAGCTGCATCTCAAATTGTGCCTAGGCCTTCCTAATTTTCTCCTCGCATACCTGTGCAATGTTCTTATACTCTTCCCTGGTACTCTGGCCAAGTTCCCACTTTTTATAGTACTCCTTTTTGATTTTCAACTTCTTGAAGAGATTGCTTTCTACCCAGGCTGATCTCCTGTTGCACTTCTCATTCTTCTGTGCTTGCTTGCTTCTGTGCCCTGAATAGCTTGCTTCTCTGCCCTTATGAGAGCCTCCTTAAAGTTCAGCCAACTCTCTTAGACTGCTTTTTCCCTCAGAATTGCCTCCCAAGGGATCCTGTTCACTATCTCACCTTACATTATGTAGGAAGGATTTCCTC